TTGTTTTGTATTGTATTTTATTGTTAAAACTCAAGGGTTAAGAAATTGTTTTCATGTTCTCATTTTTTAATTGATGAAAACTCACCTTGCCTCCATTATTTTAGGCTCAGATGGACCTATGCCCTCATGTAGTACTTAAGAAATGCTGTACTTAAATTAGCTACCTTGTACTTAAAATTACTTGTAGTGTAATCATCTACAAAAACAACTGGTCAGTGTTTAAATTCGGTTTATAAAGATTCTCTGAATTGGTGTGTTTAGTTAAGCACAGATTAAATTTGGCATTCTTCTGTAAACTACTCATTATCTTTATTTATTCACATAAACCAAGGATACTGCTGTTGCAGACCCCTTGTTCCTGTGCTGCCATGATAGGTTGCTTTTCTTTGCTTTAATAAACTCCTGGTTGCTTTGGCTGTATGTTTTGGGTCATTGTTCATTGGTCATTGTATTATGAAATGGCACCCAATCAATCTGACTGTATTGAGCTGGATTTGAGCAGACAGTATGCTTGCACTTCGCAGTGAACCGTCTGTATTTACATTCATGCAGTCTTCTCTTTATAGTAGACTTGAATATGGATATGCCTACTGCCTATCTCAGCTCTATTAATTCAATACTACATACTATTAAGGTTATAATGTAGTATAAATATACAAATATTTATTTTAGTATAGGGTGATACAATATAGTCGATACCCTTATCATTTGTTTATTATTTATTTTAATTTACATAGTTTACAAGATTGAATAGGTATAGGTTCAAGTATTTTATGTAATCATTATATGAATATGAATCCTTTTACATTTTTACAGTTCAAAAATTTTACAGATTAAAGATCTACTGACCAAACTTCCAGCTTTGCAAAACGTTACACTGGGGCATCATGGTGAGAAGAAAGCTGAATATAAAAGCAAAGCACTCAGTTTACTGGTGGATTTACGTCCCTACCTTTACCCATCATCACAAGCTCTGGATGGTGACCAAAAGAAATCAGCTTTCTCCAAAGGGTGGCTGGCCTCTCCCTTAGTGTTAGGGATGAATGGATCAATTGATGGATGGATCTTTTATGAGAGTTTGTTTTTTTAATTTTGATTCATAGCTCTAGAACAATAATATGCAGTTTTGTAACACTACCACTATCACTTTGGGTGAAAAAAACTGTTGTTATTGTTCTACGATTAATGTAATAAGTAGATGGTCAATTAGGCATTGTCTTGGGAAAGGAAAATGTAGTTCCTCTCATTAATGTAAGGGGGTGCCAGAAGGTTGTCTTTCTAAATGAGGTTTGGCTCCCCTTCGTGGTTAAAGATTTATTTGTTAAACTGTGCATTTAAATGTGTGTGTTTCAACTCTAAATGTCACCAGACGTTAAACACAGTGACAAAGATCATTAATTCACAAGTTTACAATGATTATAACAAGTGAAGGCTTAATTAAAGACGTAGTAAAATGTTTAGATTCCAAAAAACACCACCACAAAAATAATATGTACAAATAGGAATACAGTAGGTTCTGGTTGTTTGACACATGAAATTTCCATGAAAATCCTGACATTGATGCTGCACATCATTAACATAATGTAATGTAACGTAACGTAACATAACGTAAAGTTACATAACACATACCATTACAGCAATTACAAGTACATTCTTTTTAAAGTTACTCAACAGTATATGTGGGCAATCCAAGGAGTTTAAGAAAAAAAAGGTAAGTGAACAGGGTACATCACATAGTTAATATAAATCTCTCCAAAATGCGTTCAGTATTACGGTCTTAACTTTAGTAAGACCTTCAAATTACAAACTGAAACCAGTGATAGTACTTCATCCTGTGAAATTGTATTGTTTAAGACATTTACTATTTAACTCTGTGCATAATCTGATATAAATGATCATAATGCAATATCTTTATCAGATATAAAAGGAATTTTAATCTTGTAGTTCAGTGAAAATTTCACCATCATTAATGTGATCAACGCTTGTTATCTTTAAGCCCATCCAAGAGTTTTGTGGAAACTCAGTGTTTGTGTAAGGTATGCCGACACGGCAGTAGTTTTCTGTGCTGTATACTTACTGATTTTATCTTTGACTACTTATACCAAAAAAGCAGCCAGCACAGAACCAATCTGACATACATTACCAAATACAAAACACACACAGTAACTAACACTGAGATTCTGTCACTGTTTTGGTTATTTTATGTGTTTTGTTTACTGCCAATTTCTCAATGGCAAACCACAATTCAATAGGTAATAAAAGAGGTAATAGGTAATTAAAAGTAATTATAAATTGCATTGGGAGCCACTGAAGTGATTTTAATACTGGAGTAATGTGGTTTAATTACCTTTAATTAAATTTCTTAAGTGAAAGCAGCTCTGGTAACCTTATTGAGGTGATTATCAAAACAAAATCACTGTCCAAAATGATGCGATGAGATCAAAGAAATTCATTTGGTTTTTTGCAAACAATTTTTTTAAATACTTTGCTGAGGAATGAAAGATTAGGAAGTCTGAGTCTTAATTATTAATTACAATGGATCTAAGTTTGTTTTTTGAGTAGTGATGTGATTACATCAGATTTAAGAGAAACAGGAAAAATGCCATGGATGTAGAGAACTGTTGATAATATTTACTAAATGTTTTCTAAAGCAATGACTTATAATTTGAATAGTTTGGTGGGGATCAAAGTCAAGCAAAGAGGCCCAAGCCTTTAACTGGTGAATATCTTCTTCCAGATCTTTAAAAATTGGAAATGATAATGTGGACATTGTGTTTGTAGTAGTAATTTGATCAGAATGTCAGTGATGGATAAATATGAGAGGCTAAGATATTTCCTCATCACATTCACTTATTAGCTGAATAAAATTCAGTTGGTATGATTTTGGAGGGATTAATAAGTTTATCAGTGGATGAAAATAGAAAAGCAGAATTAGACTCTTTATTGCTAATCATTTGGAACATGTAGTGTTGTCTGGCTAATTTTAGCTTGTTTTTATAGCAGTGAAGTCCTTACTGTAGATTTTAAAATTAATTTGTAGTTTATTTTTTCAATATTTTCTTTCACCTGTTCAGCAGATTCTTTTTGCCTGCTTTAACCTTTCACTGTTTCTTCAGGGTGCTTGAGGTGAACCCTGTATATTAATAGTTTTAACAGAGGCAACATGGTCAATAATCTAAGACACTGCATCATCATAGGAGGACATTATTGGTCATTTGCACTTTGAATAATAATTTCACAATCTCGTTGTACCTGTACAATGACAATAAAGGGCTTTTCTTTTCTATTCTGTTTTTAATAACTGTTTCAGCTGTACTGGCTTTGACATGATACTTATTGAAATCAAGGCCTCTGAAAAATAACCCTGATCAAGCGTGTGACTTTTTGCTTGGGTAGGGTCGATCGTATACTGTTTAAACCAAAGCATTCTAAGAAACTGATAAACTGTTTAGTGTCAGAATTGTTACTGTTGTCAGTGGAAATAATAAAATAATCTTAAATAAAAATACAATCAAATTTACGGAGAAATACAGAAAATAAAATAATTAATTATAAAACTTAAATGTTAAACGGCAGAAGATACTATAGCAGCCAGATGAAAGAATGGAGAGCAGAACTGCTTACAGCACAATTAGGTTTGTGGATTTAGTTTCTCAGACTGCTCGGAGCCATCGTCTGGAGCTGTAATATCAAAAACAGACAGTCGGGAAGTATTCTGGTCTTTTCAAAGTATAATAAGCAGGTGATTGTTTGTTTCTGTTTGCAAACACAACCCTCTCTCTGCAGAAATATTAGTGGTTATCAAGCAAATGAGAGCATAAATAAGAAACGGAATGTGTTTTGGCAAAACACAATCAGGGTTTTGCATTTGTTCTTTTAATATCTTCACTCAAGACAAATTTCATTGGTTAAATTAGAATTACATTAATAATTACATTACAGTCTGCTGTAATTACGTAAGTACAATGGAAAACTATACATCGATGGAATCTGATCAAATGAAATTTCTTACCTTTCTCACCTTTCCTCCTTTTGTAAGCCAGAAATATCACAGCTGCAATGATGGTGAAAACTAGAACAAACCATAGAGCAAACCATAGAGCACGATGCTCCATGGTGGTCCCGTCAGAGAGCTTCTCTGCTGAAGAAAAGAAAGCAACACTTTATAATACAGAGCAAAAATGTGTGCAGTTACTAAAGAATTTGTAATAACCACATCACATCTGATAATTGATGAGAATGACATCTCTGATTGAAACAAAGAGCTGCACAAAACAAGAAGCACATTTGAGAGATCAGACTGTGATGTTTGGCGAAAAGGCCTGGTTCGCAGTCTCTGCTCTAATTCATCCCAAAAGTGTTCATTGCAAAGGATTCTGTGCATGCAAGTCAAATTCTTCCACAGCAAACTTCCTCGTCCTTGTCTTTATGGACCTTGCTTTTTGTGGTGGGTATGAAGGGGCCATCCCCAAACTCTTTCCACAAAGTTAGGAGCATGAAATAGTCCGAAATGTCTCAGTATGCTGAAGCAGCATGCTTTACACCACTGCGTCCATTGCAGTGATGTAAGGCTTGGATGCAGCTACTCAGGCATGGAAACCCATTCCATGAAACTCTCTACAGCTGTGTTGCTGTCATTCCCTGTCACTTCCACTTTGATATATAATAGCACTAACAGTTGAATGTGGAATATTTAGTAGCAAGGAAATTTCATGACTGGACTTCTATCACAGTACCACGCTGGAGTTCACGGAGCGCCTTAGACAGACCCACTCTTTCACAAATGTTTGTAGATGCAGTCTGCATGCCTAGGTGCTTGATTGTATACACCTTTGGCCCTGGAAGCAACTGGAACACCTGAATTCAATGATTTGGATGGGTTTGTGAATACTTTTAGTAGTATAGTTTATATTTATATTTATACTTGTAGTTATTAATAAGTAAGACCAGGATTAAGGATTAAGGACTTGAATTTGAAAGCTAGAGGATGAAAGAAATATTTACAAAACCCCGCAGGATAAAGTCTCACCCCAGTTGGTCCTGATCACAGCTTGGTCCAGTTTGATGACAATGTCTTTGTTCACACCATAGAGCTGAAACACGCAGTCGTACCTCTCCCATTCTTCAGGAGTGACTGAAGGTTTCAGCTCAACACTCATCTGGAAGGACCCATCATTGTTAGGGAGGATCTCTCCTATGTCCAAGCCTTCATAAATATCCTCTCCATCTTTCCTCCAGAACATCGTGGCTTCGTGGGGATAGAAACCTGTAGCGTGGCAGCTGACTGGAGAGGAGGGAGTCTTCTGAAGGAGAGACACTGAAGGAGGAACTGGAGAGAGACAGACAGTTGTGTCATTATCTTTTGAATTTTACTGTACTTAAGAAATGGTGAAGCCTATGAATTAGGCCTGCTGCCATTTTACCTGCTGACTGCAAAAAGCTACTTCCATAGTGCACATATTTCTTTAAGAACTCGGGGCATTCGTGACTTAAAAGGTTTTGATTGATTTCTAATCGAGTTTTTTCAGTATTCCATCTCATTTTGGTGATGACAGCCTGTGGTTTTGGAGCAATCCATGTCACTGTCTGCAGGTCAAAAGCTAGAAAGTCTTCTCCATCATAACCATACTGATTAAACCCATTAATTTCTCCAGTCTCATCATCCCATTCACAGCCACTCATCCTCTGCATTATATAAACACCTGAAAAGAGAGACAGCAACAATAACTGCAATCACCAGTGAGATGTAAGCAGAGTTAAAAGGTGATATCGCACCTACTGAGAAAGAATATACCACAAAGAATTAACACGGGGTTGTTTCTTTGTAGTGTTCTTTCTTTCTGATGAACAGTTTATCAGGATTCACATTTTGTGTTCTTTGGATTCATTCACTGCTTCTTCTTTGCTATTTTTTATGTTAGCAGTGTGGTGGGAAAAATACCATCAAAAAAGACCTTCAAATTGTCATGTGCTTTGAATTATTTTCTGAGAGGGATTTTATAATAATCGGGATAATATTTCAGCAGTAACAAGTGAAATGACCTTCACATACCTTCACTTTGGTTGAAACGTTGTCTCAAGCTGTCAATGTTAGCCTTGAAGAAGTGTTGAGTACCCAGACATTCTGAATTATACCGTTCCACCTGCTGAGGATGATCCTCAAAGAATTTAACCCAGTCTTTTGTAACCTCCACCCCTCTTATGTTATTACAGTCACCTATCTGAACTTCATCAACAAATGCAACAACCACAAACTCTGGGATGCTCTGGGCTCCAGGGCTTTCAGTGGAGAAGAACTTCAAGGAATGTTTTACTGTGAAATTGATGGGACATTCAATTATTACATATTTTCGTGTATCATTTAAGTAGGTTAAATATGACCTTAATTCAGGTCATTTTTCACTGTAAAAACATAAATCTATCAGTGATACATCAGTGAACATAAAAAGAGACGGAAAACAATGATGTGTAATAGGAAAGGAAGAGAGCAGAAGAGACAGGATAATAGCCACACTGTGGAAGAGAACCAGAGTTTAGTAATAACTAATGATCAAATGCATAGTGGTTTATAAACACAGAGAGTGAAAAGAGGTGAGTGAAGAAGAAATGTTCAGTGCATCATGGGAAGCCCCCCGAAACCTAGACTGATTGCAGCCTAACCAAGGGATGATTCTCTCACTGCCATCTTATAAATCTTCCTTTTCACTCTTGCTGATGTCTTTCTTTCCTAAATGACCCCTGACCCTCATCTTCATCCTGCCTGCACTCTCTTCTTCACCTCCCTTGTCTACTGTCTGCTGCTTTGGATGGTTAATCCCAGGTATTCAAAGTCATTCACCTTCACTACTTCTGCTCCTTGAATCTTCACCATTCCACCTGTCTCCCTCTCATTCAAACACATGTATTCTGTTTTTGCTTCTACCAGCTTTCATTCTCCTTCTCTCCAGAGCATATCTCCATTTCTGGAGTTTCTCTTTCACCTGCTCCCCACTCTCACTCCTCTACCTCATATGTAAACCTGCTCATCACCACTGCAAACAAAGGATCAGAGCCAAAGGGAAGATCCCTGATGCAATTCCACCCCCACCTTGAACCCATCAGTCACTTCTACCTCAACACTGTTTGACTGCCCTCATACATGTCCTGCACCACCCTTCTCTCTCACTCCTCCACATAGCTCCTTCTTAACTTCTCTAAACTTCTCCATCAGCATGCTTAAAGCAAATGTCACATCTGTATTGCTCTTTCTCAGCATGAAGCCATACTGTGTGCATAATGTTCTGTACTAATTTAATAACACCCTATTACTTTCCTGTCAGCTACAGTGCAGCTTGTGAGCCACACAAGATGACATGGGAGAGGATACGTTCAAAGAAAAATGTTTAACAGAACAACAGCAGCTGCTAGCAAGTTTACTCTCCTTTGTGCCCTTAAGAAATGTGCCTTTTTCAAAAAGGAGGTGGTGTAAATACTCCATGTGAGGTCCTGTGAAATGGAAAATGTATGTGCCCAAGAATTTGAAGTTGCTCACTCTCTCGATCAAAAAGTAAATAATATGTCGACAGCTCATAGTGAAACTAAAAAAGATTACATCTCTTGCAATTCAAGTTGTTGTAGGTTAAGGAGAACACTTTTTAAGACTTAACTTGAACTATGATCTTACCTGAAGATGCAACATGACAGCAGAGGAGTAATATGAAGACATTCTTCATCTTTTTTCTTAATTTTTCATTTTTATCAGTGCAAGAAAAACAATTTGGCTTAGTTGCCCGTTTCATTTCCTGATGGGCTGTGCCAAAGTTTTGAGTGATAAAAAAGTTAAACATTAAACAGACTAATAACCTTCAAGAGCCTCCTTGTTCTTTTCTTTTTACCACGCATGCGCACTGCTTGTTCTACCCACAGTATTTGGTAAATACTCAAAACTTCGAAACAGGAAAATATGTCTCATATAGCCAATGCCAAAATACATTGGCTATGCATTTTTTTAAAGTTTCTATGACATTAAATTGTTTAGCTCAAAGACAAATGATCAACTTAGTTAATTGGGCTAGACAATTTATAATTTTTCATGACAAAATATTTCAGTAAGCTGTACCAACTTCCATGATCCTTGGTTTTGTACCAAGCATTTTCTGTTTTGGACTCTTAGTTTCGGTTTAATATTTTCTGTTTGACTTTGTTTTAGTTTTCAGTTTGAATAGGTTGTTTTCATTCTGATTCCGTATTCATAGTTTTCTTTGTCAGTTATTCTCAAGTTTTTTCCTGTCCCCTCATGTACCCCATACCTAGTTTGTGTTTCTGTTAGGTCTCCCGTGTTTATTCGGTTTTGTCGTTGTTTACGTGTTTTAGTCTCAGAGTTTAGGCTTGCTTTGTTATTTTGATAGTCTCTCGTATCGTGTGCATTACGTTCAGTTTCGCAGTCCCTCTTGCTTTTTGATTGATTCCATTCACCTGCACCTTGTTTTCCGCAGCTGTGTCACTTTCCCTTATTTGGTACAACTAGTACTACTAATAGTACTAAAATAAAAAAATACTTGCACTCAATAAAAAACAAAACAAATATGATTATATCGTAAGGAGAATCCAATGCACGCATTACAGAAAAATACATTATTTTTAATACAGGGGGAAAATTAACTGTCTGCCCTACAAGGTAAATACATAAATATTTGAGAACAGGTCACAGAACTAAATAGTTGTTATCCTAGAAACACACAGTACCAGTCAACTTCAAGCTTTACTTCACAGACACATATTTATTTCAGTTTAAACCATTAAAAAATGGCAACAACACAGTGAAAAAGAATTAATCATTACAATTTGTAAGTTCACAGTGATCAAAACACATAGTCATTTGTTCCTGTTTTGTCCGGAAATAAGTGTAGTCTTATTTAATCCCATAGTTTTTTAAAATTCAGTTAAGTGAGAAACAAAATCAGACAGACTTTATTAATCCCAGAGGGAAATTGAGTAGACCGCAAACATGTATTTGTGCTTAAAATACCATACGACTCTCTAAAAGGTGGGACACCACAATATCACAAACACATGACTTACACTATCCAAATGCATGTCTCCTTGCTATAATGTAACTACAGCAGAAATATAAAATGTATATAAACCTATACATAAATATAAAAGAAACTTAGAGGAGCCTCTTAATGTGCTATTTTTGCAATATGAATAAACTTGAAATTTCCATGGAAATTGCATCACTGATGCTGCAACATCATCACCTCATAACAGCAATTATACATATATGCGTTATACAGTTATTGCACAGCATATGTTGAGGAGCCTGAGCAGTTTAAGACAAAAGAACTAAGTCAACTGTGTACATCAGATGGTTTATATTCCTCAGCTCAACATACTTTCATTTTTACATTTTAGTAAGCAATACCAGATACAGGCTGAAACTGATAAAAGTATTTCACTTTGTCAAATCAGATTGGTCAGTAAGGTTTATATATATTTGGTATAAATGATCATAACACAACATCTTTATCAGATAGACATTTTTCACTAATCCAAGAGTATAAATTCAATGTTTCTGGAAAAAGGATGTTAGCAAGGACTTTTCTATGCTGTATACTTGCAACTTGCAACAATAAAGCAGCTTCAGATGTTTTGCTGTTGTGTAGCACACTTCATTGCCAGATTAGCTGTGGGTAATTTAAACAACTGTGTTTTGAACGTATGTCTTTGAACTGTGGATGATACTGCAGCAGCTACAGAGCGAACTCATACAGACAGTGGAGAACAGAACTGCTTACAAGACAGTCACGTTTGTAGATTTAGCTTCTCAGACTGCTCAGACCCATCGTCAGAAGCTATAAGATAAAAGCATAGCGTATGAATACTTTTCTAAACTTCTCAAAGGTATAATATGCAGTAATTGCTGGTTTCTGTTTGCAAACATGGTTTAGGTTTACTCATTTAATAATTTAATGATGCACTATATTTGACAAAAAACAAATACAATAAAAGCAAGTTTTACTTACAGGGTGGTGAACATTTATCTAAAAAAAAAAAAAACAAGAAATTTTATCAGTTGTCATATTTTCTTTTCACTGCACATACATATCTTTTGTGCCTTCCACCTACTGAATACTGTATCCCACATTATCATTTCCCTTTGTATTTACATGACTGTGGCTCTAAGCCTTATACTGTTGCTTTAGATTTCTGTGTTTTGGGTATTTGCAGTCAAACTCATTGGGCCGAATGGATTAAGACATGACTAAAAAACAAAATTTAATATTCTCACCTTTCTTCTTTTTGCAAGCTGCAAATGCCACAGCTGTGATGAGGATGAAAGCTAGGAAAACCACTGCAGCACTAATGAAGATCACCGTGTCAGTGGGCTTTACTGTTGAACAAGAAATGGCAACACTTTGTCATACAGAGCAGAAAAGTCGAATCAAGGCAACAGTCACCCAGACAAAACAATAGTTTCAAAACCATTACAGGATGCAGTCTTACCCATGTTTGTCTTGATCACTGCTTTGTCCAGTTTTGTGATGATATCTTCGTTCACACCAGAGAGATGAAAGACACAGTCATACCTCTGCCAGTCTTCATGTGGGACTGATGAAAGTTCCAGATCAACGCTCATCTGGAAGGTCCCATCATTATTGGGAAAGATCTCTCCAGGATCCACACCTTCACAAAGCTTCTCTCCATCTTTCCTCCAAAACATCTTGGCTCTGTCAGGATAGAAACCTGTAGCGTGGCAGCTGACTGGAGAGGAGGGAGTCCTCTGGAGGAGAGACACTGAAGGAAGAGCTGGAGAGAGATTGGCAGTTGTATAATTTTCTTTTTAATCATACTCTGCTTTAGAAACAAGAAAGTCATTTAAGTTTATGTAACTGTACCTGTTGTCTGCAAAAAGCTTCTGCCATACTGCACATATTTCTTCAACAACTCATGGCATTCATAGATTAAAAAGTTTTTGTTATATTCTAATCGGGGTTCTTCAGCATCCCATCTCAGTTTGGTGACGACAGCCTGTGGTTTTGGAGCAATCCATGTCAGTGTCTCCAGGTCAAATGCTAGAAAGTCTTCTCCATCATAACCATACTGATTGAACCCATTAATCTGTCCAGTCTCATCATCCCATTCACAGCCACTCATCCTCTGCAAAATATGAACACCTGAAAAAGGAGACAGAATGCCACAAAGTAATACTGCAGACAGAAAAACAGAGGATGAATGGGTAGTGCCACTGGTATAAAATATACTTTATAAACTTATGAGCAATGTGGAAAGGTCACACTTTTAATTTCAGCAGTAACAACTAGAACAAATGCATACCTTCACTTTGGTTGAAACGTTGCCTTAAACTATCAATGCGACCCTTGAATGAATGATGACTATCCAAACATTGAAACGTGTACCACTCCAGCCGCCGCGGATAATCCTTAAAGAGTTTTTTAATCCAGTCAGTTTTAAGATCTGGTCCCCTTCTGTTGCTATTGCAGCTTCCTATCTGAACTTCATCAAGAAGAGCAACAGCCACAAACTCTGGGATGCTCTGGGCTCCAGAGGTTTCAGTGGAGAAATACTTCAAGGAGTGTTTTACTGTGAAATTATAAAATAATTGTGACTTAGAATTAGGTATATACTTTCTTGTATGACTGTTTGTAATATATTTAAGGAATGTCTTGACATTAATTACTAAAATTAATTTTGATATTATTTATTGAAGTATTCATCATTCAGTAACCCACATAATCCTTTTGATGAGGTACACATATCTACAGGAGGATGGGGTAAATAAACTTGAATTTCAATCAGTCATAAATTAAAAATAATTAAACAGGGCTCTATGTATCCAGCCCCCCGAGAAAGATTTCTGGGGCTGCTTACATTCCTCCGGCCTTGAGAAGAGGTAAATGAAATTGCAACAGCTCATAGTGAAACTAAAAGTCTGTCACTTGAAATTCAGGGTAATATAAGTAAAGGGAAACATTACGATATTTGAAATATGATCTTACCTGGAAACACAGCATGACAGCAGAGGAGTAATATGAACACATTCTCCATCTTCTTTTGCATTTTTAAATTTGCTAAATCCAGAAAAACAAGTCATGAGCGACTTGTCCAAGTTCATTTTTTGATGGGCTGGTCCAAAGTTTTGAGTCATAAAGAATTAAATATTAACCAGCATATACTTTGAATACAGTAAATTACTGTGTTTGGTCCATGGGTCATGTTCTGATATCAGTTGTTCACATCTCTTGTTTAACAGCGACTGGAACAAAAGGTCCTAATTTCCTGAATCATTTTTGAACAGCAGCCTCTGAAGAACCTCTACTAAAAAGACTTACTACAAATTCTTTAATATTATGAATTAGAAAAAGGTGCTTAGAGTGATTATGGGCAAAAAAAACAAAAACCCTCCTCACCTCATTATGAGAAATAAAAAAAAAACAATCTTTTCAATTAAAGGGATTGTGTGTTGGCACTTCAACAGCTTAAAAATATTAAAGAGAAAATATAGAATGAAAATTAACCTCTTAAGCCCCAAGCCTACTTGATCTCCTGCCTTTTGCCCCTATATCAGGGGGTGTTAGGGCCTAAGAGGTTAAGAAATGTACAAAAAAATAAATAAAATTAAGTCCATAATTTTCTAATATTACTGTACTCATTTGAAAACTATAGATGCCGCTTGCTGAGGTTCATTTATCTGTGATGGAAATGAAAAAGCAGAGACGAAAAAGTTTTACAACACAATTATTAATTGAAGTTCAAAAAGGAGAAACTACAGAAAGAACTTAAAGAGAAAAGGAATTTGAGGAATAAGCAATTAGTCAATTAGACTCCAATAAACAACATAGAAGAACAGAGTCCCTACAATGATAGAAAGCAGAACGGGATCCTGTGATACCAGTCTATGCACTGGTGATGGGGAAGATGAAGCAGGTGGAGGCCTGGATAAGACGCTCTGAGTGACCATGTTGAAGTAGAGGGGAGAAGGTGGATCGCATGAGATGAGAATCTGGCAGGTGAAATGTTGATAGAAGAAAACTGAGATTTAGAGGCTGATTGGCTCACCAAATGCAGTGAGAAAATGATTGGACTACAGTAGTGATGAGGGAGTTTGACACCATGGAAAAGCATGAAGAAGATCAGACAGGAAACCCAAATGAAAGAAAGCAGTCAGACAAGTAGATATAGATCTTCTTTATTAAATTTATTTGAAATTTAAACAGTAAAGTTATGAGCAAAACAGTGGCAATTAATCACCTGCCTCAAATGAACACAAAGGGAGTCCAAGTTATACTGGTTGAAAATGAGCTGCTTTGTACGCAAGACTGGTATTTTTCCAGAACCTGCAGAGGAGGTGAACATCACTGGAGTAGGTTATGTGACACTGTGGAAGCAACTGGTGACATTCTGGAGAAATGTAAGGCAATAAGGTCCTGGTATTTATATAAAGCAGACGTACATTTTACAATAAACAGATGCTTCTGTTTCTTACACTCAATAAAATATAATGAAATAAAAGCATTGGGGATAAAGATAATGGATTAAAAACACATGCAGAGTCACCAACGATATATAGGATAGTAAAGATTAGGATAATTCTGTGTTATTATTATTGATATCATTGTTTGCTGGGTCTGTTTTTGTTTCACCTCGTTCAGGTCCTAATTAACAGCTCATGGCTCACATACCATATATCATAAAACCAGGAAACAGTCCTGCATTCAACACGCTTCTCTTCAGCTCCATGCCTTTCCCCAACAAAATTAAGACGTTTCTTTCTTACTTTGTGTTATTTTGTTTTGTTCTGTTTTGTTTTGTGTTATTTTATGTTACTTCACTCTTGTTATGCTGCATTTTTCATGTCATGTGCACTTCATGTTTGTGTGTGAATTTAAATGTTAGGGACACTTAAATGTGTAGCATGACATAACCACATATTACTCACAGGAAAAGGCAAAATAAATAATAACAAAGTTACAAAATGAATATTAAATTTATGGGAAAAAAACTGACCCTGCAGCAGGTCACATGGTAAAACCAAGGATACACATGGTGTTATTTCTTTGCCTTAAACAGAAAAACACTCTCTGAAGTTCTTCCTCACATCATCAAGTGGAGTAACCGAATTCTCAGATTTTGTGGCTGTTGTTTTGCTTAATGAAGTACAGATGGCTTACTATGACAGCAGCACCGAGTGTCAAGGCACTTGTGTGAAGGCAAGAGAGGACCCTAACGCACGGCTCAAGACACACGGGTATAAACTCAAAAGGCAGGTCTTTATTAATAGGAACATAAAAAGTCATACAAAACTATACTGGGAGAAACTAAAGCTGAGGCACTGGGAAGACACGAGGGAATGCACACAACCTAGAGGGACGACACAACACAGAACAAAGGGACACTCTGACATAAATACACAGAAGGTAATGAGGGAAGTGGGAACACACAGGGAACACAGCTGAGGGCAATTACTCATGACAAAACGGGGAGGACACGAAACTGAAAACACTGACACCAAGATGCGGACCTTAAACATAACACAGAGTACACAGAGAGAGGCAGAGAGAGAGGCAGAGAACATGAAGGAATACATGAGGGGATGAGGAGAACACAGAACACAAAGGGTGGGAACACGGTACCAGAACAAACACCACAATATAAGCACGGACACAGGGAGAATCCAAATACCAACCAATCCTATGAACATAAAGAACAAAATACAAAACGACAGGAAAACTAAGAACGCTGGGTCAAAATGACCCAGGACCATGACACCGAGAAAATTGAGCTGACGCAACACTGGATTACCACCGTAATGAGCACCGAATTTTGGAAAAACTTTGTTATGAAGGCTTACCCTGAAAACCTTCAGAAATATTTAAAGTTCTGGAAAAGCTCTCAGCAGAAAACAGGTAAACAGGACACAGCAATGCTCCTCTGTGGTTTTAATGTGCAGTAACTTTTCAGCAGCTCACAATCTTTTCTCCCTGTTTCCCTGTACACAGCTTATGGTTCACTTTTCTTCTGTTCTCGGGATTTTATCTGTCTTTGTCTTTGATTCCCAGAAAGTTGATTCTGTTGATGTGGACGTAGCATTTTCAATGTAGAGAAATGTTTCTCCCGCTTTGCTTACCTGGATGATTGAGCATGCATCGAGACATTTGTCTCTTATTCTTCCCTCTTAGCCTTTTGTTCCCCTGGTGTGCAGGGTATATACTTGACTACTTATTTTACTTTCTGGTGATATTGGATTTACTATTCATGTAATTTGTGTACTGGGAGTACCTTGCCACTTGTCAAGATGGCAGTGAATCTCTCCTTCACTGCAGTTCTTCTTTCAGTGTCTCTCCTCCAGAAGACTCCCTCCTCTCCAGTCAGCTGTGACGCTACAGTTTTGTATCCTGACAGAGGCGTGATGCTCTGGAGGAAAGATGGAGAGGAGATTGATGAAGGTGTGAAAAAAGAAGAGAAGATCCCAAACCATGACAGGACCTTCCAGACGAGTGTCGATCTGAATGTTTCATCAGTCACATCTTAGACTGGAAGAGATAGGACTGTGTGTTTCAGCTCTCTAATGACAGCATCATCACCAAACTTGACAAAGGAAACAAACTGAGGTAAGTCTAAAGCTAGATTTTTCACACAGTCATCTAACGAGCGCTCGTTAAAAATGCCATGTGTTGTTTTTGTTCAGCAGAGAACCAAACTGACATTATTATTGTCATCATGGCTGCTCTGGGATTTTTTGTTGTCGTCATCATCGCTTGCAACGTCGCATTAATGAAAATGATGAAAATTAAGTGACAATCTTGTTTAATGTTTGAGTCTAAAACTGTCAAAAAAAAGTAAACAAACAGGGAAAATATTTGCTTTTGTTTTTCATACATATGTGTCATACACGTTGTCACTCTCACGTAGTTAAATTTTTATATTTACACATTTCCCATACATGTGTTTTCTGTTATGATAGGCTGTGTGGCAGGCAGGCAGGAAAAAGGACCCAAAAAGCAGGAGTCTCAAAGACAGGACTGGAACTCAAAACGCAGCTTTTATTGCTGGCAAAACCTCATAAAATAAAACTCACAAAAAACAAACTCAGGCACTGGAACATGACAAACACACAACATGTAGAGGGCACAACACGACAGACAGCAAAGGAAAACACAGCACTTATATACACAGGGAGTAATCAGAAGATGGGAAACAGGAGGGAGACACAGTTGGATTAGGGCTAAGGAGACAGGGGGAAGTAAAACTGAATATAATGTCATAGGACTTGGAACCATCAAAATAAAACAGGAAACAAGAAACAAATCACAAAGATGCAAATTTGACGCTGAACTAAACCTAGCATAATAATCAAAGCACAACTTAAAGAACCAGAGCATAAATCCTAATATAGAAAAAACACCAAAATATAAGAAAAATGAACCAGAACCATGACATTTTCACTTACGCATTTCTACAGTTTGCTCTTATGCACATGCATTCAATATGCAATTAATCTTACAAATGATATATGTATGTAAGAGAAGAATGTATGTGTGTGAAAGAATATAGTGGAAACAGAAGGAAGGCTGTACCACTGTGATTGGTCTAGAAACACGTGCGGGATCACGTTCTGTGATGTGGTGTCTATCAGCATGGAAGGGGGAGAAGAAATCTGAGTACTTGGGGTTTATAAAAATGTTTTATTGTCTCCTGAAACTGTCATATCCTTGTCTTCATCACTTGATTTTTAGGCAGACAAGTGACAACGAGGTAGCTTCAACAAACCAAGTAGCTACGTGAAGTCAGACTGGAGTGGAGAAGGCTTTGTGATATCAGACCCAGAAACACTACCGTTCAAGGAAAAGGTAAGAACAAACAAGCTGCTGATTAACTGTACATTTGGGAAATACTAAATATCATAATTTTAAAAATATTTTTAGCACTGTAGTTGAATTGGGGCATTTGGGTTTTATATTATTGTATTTTATTATATTACATTTTTATATTACTTATTTTTATTCAAGACTCACTGAAGTTAAATTGTCAAAGCTCTTAACATTTTGTGTTTATGCACATGCTTTTGCCA